ATATATATATATATATATTACACTGTGGCTGTCTTCAGACACTAGAAGAGGGCATCTGATCCCATTACAGATGGTTGTGAGTCATTGTATAGTTGCTGGGAATTGAACTCAGGACCTCTGGAAGAGCAGTAAGTGCTCTTAACTGCTGAGCCATCTCTCTAGCCCTTTTATTTGTTTGTTTGTAGTCTGTGAATTTTAATATAGATCTTTAGTGGCCCTTGTTGGAGCAGCATCACATGACTTTGGAAGGATCAAATAAATGTGCCTCGCTCATGACTTGGAAACGTGTTATTGGAACTCTCTAAACAATATGTTGGTTTCTTCAAAGCAAATGTCCCTACAAAAAGAGCAACGACAAATAGAAATTATTCAAAACGCAGGGTTGCATCCTTCAGTATCTGTAACGTGTGCACGAGCGAACACACACACAGACAGACAGACAGACACACACACACACACACACACACATCCTTGCAGCTTTCTCCAAACGCAATCACCATGTTATCTTCCGGACTGGATAATCTTAACCCGGGCAAGAAAACTGCGTCAGTCCTTTACTGCTCCGGATTTGCTTGGCACAGTCTTTTACGGTGGTGTTCGGAACACTGACAGGAGCTGAGTTTTTGGAACCGGAGAGTGCTGGGCTGAGTTTGGGGAACACTGGCCAGAGTTGTGTATGCGTGCCTGGTCAGCTCCGGAGAGGGGTGTTTTCCTTAGCAGGGTCTTAGTAGATTTGTAGCTGACTGAGAAACACTTAACTGTAAGTTGGGAATTGCTTTTCGTTTCCACAGAATGGCTACACACCGCTTATACTTGCAGTGCTAGAAAACAAACAGGACATGGTGCAACTCTTACTGCAGGCTGCAGCCGACATAAACGCCCTGGATAACTGCAAGAGGTATCTGTGAAAATTCTTAAATCCTTGCGACGGTCTAGAGTGGCTATGGTCATATAAAGCATCAATAGGAAAGGCATACGAAAGTAACTTATGTTTATAGGAGACACTTATAGGAGACACGTTAAAGCAAATGAGCAGGTAGGGAGAAATGAGCTGTTTGGTTTAGTCTCAGCATACGGCAGAGCTCCTTTTAAAACTGATTTTGTTACTTTTGAATCAAATTGTTTTAGTCTTAGGATTTTATATTAGATAAAATAGTTTCATATTTGTCTTACTGTTGGAGACTTCTAGTTTAAGATTCCAATGAATTTTTTAAAAACAATTTTGTAGTATTTCCTATCCCTGTCTCTTTTATACACTTTTTCTTGTTCTTATTTTTCTTTTTACATTTCCTCTCTCTCCCTCTCTCTCCCTCTCTCTCTCTCTCTCTCTCTCTCTCTCTCTCTCTCTCTCTCTCTCCCTCCCTCCCTCCCTCCCTCCCTCTCTCCCTCCCTTCCTTCCTCCCTTCCTTCCTTCTTTTTTGAGACAAGGTTTCTCTGTATAGCTCTAGCTGTCCTGGAACTCACTCTGTAGACTAGACTGACCTTGAACTCAGAAATCCACCTGCTTCTGCCTCCCAAGTGCTGGGATGAAAGGCGTGTGTCACCATGTCAGCTCTACATTTTTTTTATAAATGCTATATTTATGAGAAATATTTTTGAAAATCACTTTGATTCAAAAGAACATCTCTGATGGCTCTTTTCTCTATGTTGCATTGTTTGAAGAATATTGATGTTAGATTATTCTAAATGATTATGTATCATTAGGTGTTACTCAATTTCCCCCATTTTTATATGGTTCATATGGATGTGTTCAGCTACTCACTAGTCTGAACAAATACATAGTAGAAACCATTTAATAGAGGAAAGATTTATTTTGCTTAACAGTTTCATAGGCACCAATCCATGGTGGGCTAGACCGCTGTCTTTGAGGTAAAGGTAAGGTAGTCTATGACAGGAAGTAGGAGCCAGAGACAGAGGAGGACCTCTTCTCAAAGCCATGGTGCAGAAAAACAAGGCTTCCAGGACAAGGCAGACCCTTCATAGGAACACCCCTAGTGACCCAGGTCCCCCCTCCCCCTCAGGACCAACATCCTAATAGACAAGTTATCCCTGATCTCACAAATGAGTTAATACAGTGTTAAAGTTAGTGAGCCTGTGGTCCAGTCACCTCAATGGCATAATCACCACAGGCCCAGTTACTCAGTGTTTGTCTTTTGGCGCATATTAAAATCATAACAGCTATCTATTCACTGGGCTGGCATGTACAGAGGAACTAATCTAACCTCATTTAGATAAACTTTCATTAATGAAAATATGCTATAGGTGATTGAGAAAGAGAAGGCCTACCTCCCTTCACAGAAGGTTCATCTGTGCTTCCGATGAACCAAATCACTTCCTGATATTAAAATAAAAACAATACCTGGGCAGTGGTGGCATACACCTTTAATCCCAGCACTTGGGAGGCAGAGGCAGGTGGATTTCTGAGTTCAAGGCCAGCCTGGTCTACAGAGTGAGTTCCAGGACAGCCAGGGCTACACAGAGAAACCCTGTCTCGAAAAACAAAAAACAAAACAAAACAAAAAACCAACAAAAAAAACCAATACTCCTTTGTATCATTTAAAACTGTTTATCTTATTCATATGTATGAATATTTTGCTTGCATGTATGTATGTGCACCAATTAATCTGTCTGGTGCTCATAGAGACAAAAATAGGGCATTATCTCCTCTGGAATTGGAATCAGACAATTGTGAGCCAGCTGACATGAGTGCCAGAAACTGAAACTAGGTCTTCTCTACAAGAGCATTAACCACTGAGCTATCTCTCCAGTCTGCCACAATAAGGATGATATTCTTGAAGAGTGGTTTTCAGATCCTATATATCACATTTATATCAGCACTAGAAAAGGTAGTCAACCTTATTGACTAAGATTACTGTTGCTGTTATCTTTAATTTTTAAAGATTTATTTCACTTTTAAGATTTATTTATTATCTATACAATGCTCTGCCTGCATATATGCCTGCACATCAGAAGAGGGCATCAGATCTCATTACAGATGGTTGTGAGCCACCATGTGGTTGCGGGGAATTGAACTCAGGTCCTCTGGAATAGCAGTCAGTGCTCTTAACCGTGGAACCATCTCTCCAGCCCTTTATTTTTTATGTGTATGAAAGTTTTCTCTGCATATGTGTCTGAGCACCACTTATATGTCTGGTGCCTGAGGGAGTCAGAAGACGGTGTCAGATCCTGTGGAGCTGGAGTTGTAGATGGTTGTGAGCCACCATGTAGGTCCTGAGAACTGATCCCATGTCTTCTGCAGGAACAAATGCTCATAACTGCTGAGTTGTTTCTCCAGCCTGCTATTATCTTCACTGCTAATACTTTTAAATTAATAACTTATAAAAAGTACATTTTTCTTTATTTGGCCTGTGGCTCACTATGAATTATGGTATATCACATCAGGCTAGGGCAGCAATGGAAACCTGATCATTTAATTTCACCCTCTCCAGGTAAATGATCTAGGTATAGCACTGTCCGTCACAAGGCCTGGAACACTACTGAGTAGCACAGCGGTGGCTCGGGGAGTCTTGGTTCTTCCCTTTCAGCACTGGAGATAGCAAAGGTCAATGAATGCCTTCCTCAAAATGCTTCTGTCTGCTCTTAATTGCTGATGGCCATGCTAACACACAGGCCAGATAGGAACTTGGTGAGACATAGCTGAATAGTTGTTTATATGACTTCATTAACATGTGCCAGAGAGCCTGGTGTGGTGGAACTCTACATAGTGAGTACCAGGTGAGCCAGGGCTGTGTAGAGAGTCCCTGTCTCCAAAACAAAAGAAAACAAAACCCCAAACAATAACAAGAAATAAATAAGTGTGTCAGGATGATGTTCCATTTGCTCTTTTAGGTCCGCCCTTATACACGCTGTGAGATCTCAGTCTAAAGACATGGTCAGTCTTCTTCTCCAGCAAGGCACCAATGCATCTTTGGTGGACATCTATGGAGCCACTGCACAAAGTTATGCTGTTTTTGAAACCTTTCAAGTGTAAGTGTTTCTACTGTAATACAGGATAACTTCAACTGGATAGTTTTAATAGTTATAACCATCCGTACTTATATATCCAATGAAACTTCACAGTTCACTCTGGAAAAGTTTGGAATGTCTGAGTTAGTTGACTTCATCCATTAGAGACTAAGTAAAATACTAGACTAGGATGAGGCAGCAAAGGGTACAGAGCTCTCGGAAGACCTTTACTTTGGCAGGGCTGGGGATTGAACTGGGATTCACACATGCTATGTCTGTTCTACCACTGAGCTGTAACCCAGCTCTGTCAGGAATGTTAGGTCCCCTGTCCTTAAGATTGGAACCCTTTCATTCCAATTAAAAGATCCCACACGGGGATATAGATAGTGTCCCATCTTTTTAAAGAAATATTTATTTTTATTTATATGAGTACACTGTAGTTGTCTTCAGACACACCAGAAGAAGGCATCAGATCTCATTACAGATGGCTGTGAGCCACCATTGTGGTTGCTGAGAATTGAACTCAGGACCTCTGGAAAAGCAGACAGTGCTCTTAACTGCTGAGCCATCTCTCCACCACTAGTGTCCCATCTTTAAGTTTCTAATTATCTATTTGGTCTTTCAATATAAAATTTAGCAGAAAACGTGATTATCTACTCTTGTGACTTGTCTTCCTCAATACCATCCTTTAACATTTTTTAAAATTATTTTTACTTTATATGTATGGGAGTTTTGTCTGAATGTATGTCTTTGAATCACTTGCATGTCTGGTGTCTGCAGAAGCCAGACGAGCATATCTGATCTTCTGGAGCTGGAGGTACAGTGTGAGTGTCAGGAAGCAAATCTAGGTCCTCTGCCAGAGCAGTCAGTGTTCTTAACCACTGAGCCAGCTCTCCAGCCCCTAGTCTTTATAGTTTTTAATGTCAGAATTTTTCTTTCTGGGAAGAGATGCCTAATAATAATATACAGATGTTTCTTTGGCTTTTCTACATTCAGACTTCTGGTTAACTGACAGAATCCATCTAGGAAAAGCTAGAGTGAGTGAGTGGGTTGTCTGGACATGGCCCATTGTTTTGCATGGCTGTGGTAGGGGTACTCTGAGATGCAAGGTCATCAGAGACTTCATCTCAGGACAGGAAAGGCATATCATCTTGCTGCTTATATGCCTTTTCTGTCACCATTACATAGCCTAATGATTTCTTGGCATCAGCCCATCCTGTTGGACAAATTTCCTGCAGATCAATATGAAGATGTACTCTCATGTAGTAATGCTATATAAACGAATTGATGGTCTCACAATTCCTCATAATGATTTTATAGAACCCTTAAATTGATACAAGTAATCCCTAAACCCCTATAGAATGAAGATACAAACAGAGTTCTGTAAACCTTCATGTGTCATGGGCTAATTGCACTAGGATAAGAAATCAGGCTTGAAACAAATTTGTGATCAAGGAAAAACATTCATTTTAGGTTAAGTCCAAGGATGAAGCTACAGGTTTGCACTGTGATAAAGCTAGGCCACATGAAACTGTGGCTTTGAACTTATAAAGAGCTTATAGAATGAAACACTGCTTTGAACTTACTATCAACATACTTCTGTAACTCTCTTGTGTAACATTTTATCTATGAGGTATTTTATAAAGAACTTTTGTTTGAGAAGGTATAAAAAGGCCAGAGAGAAGAAATAAAGTGTAACTATTAGGGCTCATCCCCATCTAACAAATGTATATGTCTGTCTGTCTATAGCTATATACATACACACATGTGTAGGTATGTGTGAGTGTGTGTACGGATGTATGAACACTTGTGGAATTGTTGAAGCAGGTGGTCCAGCCTGGCCAAAGATGTGTCTGTGTGTCAATGTGTGCTTGAATTCTCCATTTTTTCTTCTTTTTCCTCTCTGGCTCACAAAGAATTAACAAACTGAGCCAGAGAGAAATTAAGCCTTTTTTTTCTAATTCCCCTGCCGCTGTCAGCTTGAGTCAAATTACCAGAAGTGAGCAGCTTTTAGCCACGGATCGGCAAGAGAGAGTTAAATTTCTAGAGGCCATCAGCTTCTGACCCCCAAAACAGTTAGAGCGAGTTACAAGGCCAGAGGTCATCAGTCTTTGGCCTTCATCTTAAGTCCCACTTCAGTACCTGATCTCTTCCAGGGCTGGTCCTCGGCAATTGACAATTCCAAGGAGTTTCTCAACTGAGTCTGTTTAGGTAGCAAAAGATACAGGAACCAGTCACTGGCGCCTCAGTTCTGTGCATACAAAGTATCTTCAGGCCCTGATAGTGCACTGGCTGTCACCCTTTGCTATAGAACCCAGAGAGACTGTTCCTTGAATGTTTTCATAGGTTGAGAGAAGTAGAATCAGAAAGAGGAAATTGCAAGCTTGACTGTTTCAGAAGTTGACTTAAAGACAAATATAAAATGCCATATACTGAGTGTGGTAGCACACACCTTTACTATCCTGGTACTGGGATAGGCAGGAGGCAGGTGGGTTTCTGTGAATTTGAGACCAGTCTGGTCCACAGAGTGAGTTCCAGGCTAGCCAGTGATACATAGTTAGGCTCCATCTCAAAAAACAAACAAACAAACAAACCCAACCAAACAAAACAAAAAACATTAAGAGAGGGGGAAGGGGAGGAGGAGGGGGAAAAGGAGGGAGAGGGAGAAGAGGGAGAAGGAGAGAGGGAGGAGAGGGAGGGAGGGAGAGAGGGAGGGAAGGAGAGAGAGAGAGAGAGAGAGAGAGAGAGAGAGAGAGAGAGAGAGAGGAATCTGAGATGGCTTAGCAGTTAAGAGCATACTGCTTTCAATGAGGAGCTGAGTTTGTTCCAGTTGAGGACTATACTCTAACTCCATGTGACTCTAGAACCAGGGGCCTTGTCTGGCCTCTATGGGCACTTAACACTCACATGAATATATATATGTTTCCCCGCAACATAACTTAAAGATAAAAATGTAAAAGTCTTTAGAAATGCCATCTGACAGCTGGCCAGCTTGCTGTTCTGAGAACCGGTTCTCACTGTACTTTACTCTGCAGGCTTTCCCAAGGCCCCAGGCCCAGCTGTCCTGAGCTTACAACAAAAGAGGACCTTGATTCCAAGGTAAAAGCTCATTTGCGATGCTGACATTTTTTTGCCATGGGGATTCAGGGATTTAGCTCAGTGGCTGAGTGTTTGCCTGGCTAGTACAAGGGCTAGGTTCAGTCCTCAGCTCTGAGTGGAGGAAATTTGCTGTCAATTTGATTTTGTTGCACTCTAATAACAGAGTTGGAGTTAAGCAAAGGCTTTAACATAGACTTTATGCTCAAGCATCAAGGCCAAGAGGGGCTCTGTAAGGAAGAGGACAATATTCTGAAAACACGGTGTGGGCTTCTCAATGAAGAGTCATACTTGTTAGTTTTATAATTAGACCTTGGTGGCTTCTGGGGTAACATTGTTCAGGGGTTTGTGGTCCTTGTTGGGTTTTGTTAATTTGATGCAAACCTAGACACATCTGGGAAGAGGGAATTTTAACTAAGAAAATCACTCCATATGATGGCCTGAAGGAAAGTCTGTGGGGCATTTTCTTGGCTGACAATTGTTGTGGGAGAGGCCACCCCATTGTGGGTGGTACCACCCCCCACACCCAGCACCTGAAGTTTATAAGAAAGCAATTGGAGCCAGGTGGTAAGCAGCCCTCCTCCATGGTCTTGGCCTCAGTTCCTGCCTCTAAGTTCCTGCCCTGGCTTTCCTGGAAGCTGTAAGATGAAATTGAACTTTTCTCCCCAAGTTGCTTTAGGTCTTGATGTTTTATTATAGCAAAAGAAATTCTAAGATAGTTGGTAAGAAAAAATTCTCCATATTTTGTAAATGAGATCTTACAGTGTATGGTTCCCGGGTATGAACTGGGCAGAATTAGAGGCTGATAAGAAAACACCCTTAAGTCACAAGGTCAAAGGAATCCCTGCAGTACTAGGTTATAGGGAGTTGAGAAATACACTTTGACTGTAAATTAAGTTCATAAAATTATGAGGTCCCCAGAGTTGCCTGTTAACAGCTGGGATACAGTAAGAGTAAACTGGAAACTGACATGTGTTTAGGTCTAAGCTTGGTTCACTGCTATTGTAAGATTGTTATTTGAGATACCTGTACAGAACGCCATCCCTCCATAGTCTATGCCATCCCTCTATGTCTTCTTACTGAACTGCCTGAGTTGTGTTGGGTGGCCTGGGTCTGCTGACTGCTCTTTCACTAAATGCCAGGTCAGGGCTCTCTTAGTTTTCCCTGTCTTTGTACCCTGCCTTAATTTCCCCTTCAGAGGCTTTTATCCCTCAATAGTAAAGATTGTATATGGCTGACGACCTGTTTTCTAAAGCTAGCTCACCGCTGAGTAGGGATGCGGTCCTGTCTACCAAGGGACTGAAAAACCTTGATCTTGCTCATCTAGTAGAGTGGCGGTACTCAAATGACCTTTTCACAGGGGTCACATATCAAACATCCTGCATATCAGACATTTACATTATGATTCATAAGAGTAGCAAAATTAAAGTTCTGAAGTAGCTACAAAAATAATTTTGTGCCTTGGAGTCACCACAACATGACAAACCATGACTGCAGCACTAGAGGGTTGAGAACCTCTGCTCTGGAGCCTCATGAAGGTTGTGGATCTGGTAGGGAGGATGTTCTTATTCAGGACATCAGAGGATGTTGTGCCTGGTCCCAAGATCAACACTGAAGGTAATGGCCTTTTTAGTAGGAGGTGCCTGGCTTCCATGAAGGGTTGATAGAAAGCATTAAAATGTACATAGAGTTCAATCTAGGTTTAACTGGGTGTGTAAATCACAGAGGTCCAAGGACGTATTGCTCAAGTTGTCAGGAACATTAGTGCAGCACAGTTGCACACAGAATAATCATGTGAGTTTTTTTTTCTCCTGATGTCATCAATAAGAGGAATTGCTAAAGTTCCCAGGCAGCATGAATCATGGATTCCATACTTTTCCATTGGTCTTCATGGGGCGGCAGGATCTTGTGCCTCTCTCGAGTCCCTCTGCCATGTGGGTTCAGATCATCAGTGTCTTTGGGTGGCCCATTCACTCTCTGCTTCTGCATTAGATATGAGGACAGCTAATTCTCACAGAGATATCAGAGCCATTTCTCCGTGTCTTCTTCTATGTGTCTGGGAATGTCCCCTAACTAGGAGAGATTCCAGATGCTATGACTTATCATTAGGCCACATCTGTCCAATTCCCAAAGCTGAGGCTGACACCATTAATTCCATTAGCTTTTGGGATTTCCATCAACATAAGTTTCTACACAAATGTGTTTAATAAGGAGTCCTGGGTCACTGATAAAGGCAGGGAATGAAGTGCCCATGTTGAAAAGGAGGCCAGCGTTTCTCCTTGCCATGTCAAGAGTTATTCAAGGACCCTCAGTGGTCCCTTGAAGTCATTGAGAAAGGAGAGCTTCCCTGGCTTTGGTTCTCAGGAGCAGGTAGCACTGAAGCAGAAGGCTGGATGATACATCTCCTTTGTGGTGATCCCTCTCTTGCTGAGGGGCCAAGCTGGGATTCTTAGAACTCTGTTAGCAGTTAGTTTTTAATTCCTTTGTTTCTAAAGCTGTGACAATCTATACTGGCCAGTTTTGTGTGTCAGCTTGATACAAGCTAGAGTTATCACAGAGAAAGAAGCTTCAGTTGAGGAAATGCGTCCATGAGATCCAGCTGGAAGGCATTTTCTCAATTAGTGATCAAGGAGGAGGCCCCATTGTGGGTGGTGCCATCCCTGGGCTGGTAGTCTTGGATTCTGTAAGAAAGCAAGCTGAGCAAGCCAGAGGAAACAAGCCAATAAGTAACATCCCTCCATGGCCTCAGCTTCAGCTCCTGCTTCCTGATCTGCTTGGGTTCCACTCCTGACTTCCTTTGGTGATGGACAGCAATGTGGAAGTGTAAGCTGAGTAAACCCTTTCCTCCCCAACTTGCTTCTTGGTTATGATGTTTTGTGCAGGAATAGAAACCCTGACTAAGACACAATCCTTTCTTCCTTGTGGGATTTCTTTGAAGAGGAAGATTATGATTTGCCTTGGGGAAATAAAATGTATATATGTGTATTACATGTACAAAATACACATATATACATAAACATGTATTTTAGTTTCATAACTACTCTGTCAGGTTGCTGAATGGCTGTACTACATCTGCACAATGACTTCAGTTAGTGTGTGGGTACTTTTGGCCAGTAAGCTGTTTATCTTGGAGAAACTGACAGTTGAGTCTAGTCTAGAGTTTTGTTTTGTTTGTTTGTTTGTTTGTTTTGGAGTATGTATTATATAGATGCCTGTGTGTGTGTACATGTGTGTGCTATAATGATATTAAACCACAGGAGACAGAAATATTCTTAAAATAGATAGAAGCACACTGCTAGATCATCAAAGGGCCTAAAAGAATGTGCCAAAATTCCTGTAGCAGTTCAAGAAAGGATGGGGTGGGGGTGGGGCTTGTGAGGTGCTACCCTTTTCTGCTAAACTATTGACTATCCATAGATTCTGGAGATGGGAATCCTGTTGAGCCTACTGATTTACATGTACACTTGAATTGCTTGCTTAAAACAATAGAAAAATGAAGTAAATAAAAACCACTTTATTTTAGTGTCATGTAAGTTTGTAGAAGAGCTTGTTCTATGTTCTGTACTTCTATGTTGGAACAGACAGAAAAAACCCTGGAAACTTAGGCATTTATGATCAGGTTCTCAAAATCCATATTACAAAGTGATTGTGTTGGGTTTTCTAGCTCGTTCCATTGAGCATGACCAAATCTCTTCAGCTAAATGAACAATTCGTGTTTACCTAAGAATGACCAGTTCTGGAAGTACAGACTCAGTAACTGTATAGTAAATGTTTGAGTTCTGAAATGTTTGGTGTTGTAGATTTTGTTGTGCCCACTCTTCAATGATTAGAACACTAACATATGATTCCTGGGATCATTGTCTAGTATTTGGAGTGCTGGGACCCCCCCTCGTTGTCACCTCGCCTGCAGCTTCGCTGTGCTTCAGCTTGCTTGGGTGTAAGGTCCTCATGTTTGTGTGACCAAGAGCTCGTGGGATACTTTTATGTGTTAGAATCATTTCAATATTTTTGAATGTGAATTGATGAATTGCCAATAGGGTTTTCATGATGTAGATTTTAAAGTAATGCAGTGTGGATTATTCTAGTAATTATGCATCAAAATTTGAAAAACATTCTTAATGTTAAAGTTGTGTGATTTTAGATGATTTATTTTAAGGTACTACATCATAAATAAATAGGTGAGAAACTAAGGAAACAAAAGCAATAGGAAAGAAGGCTTGGACAGTATTTCTTATGTCCTTCAACTCTGATTTCAGGCTACAATTTTAGATTAGCATTTCTTAAACTTTCTAAACCGTGCATTTTGTTCATTAAATGCACTTTTTCACACTGAATTTTGATTACTATTTTTTTTTGTCCAAGTGGAATATGGAAGTCCTATTTTTTTCCAACTTGTGTTCCTAACCATAAGAAATGTCACAGTTTTCAGTACTCATAGTTAGCTTTGACTGGCTAACAGAATTACTTCATTATAGCAACAAAATGAAGGTTTTTATTCTGTGTTAATTACAAAAAGATTAATTAAGTCATAAGAAAAGTATTATTAGCAGTATACTAACCAAGGTAAAATATTATTGAAAGACAAACTTCTAGATTTTTTTCCTAAAAAGAAACTCATGTAAATTTAAACCATGCAAACACATTAAAACATCTAACAAGCAGACACTTTAAATTTCTCCAGTGTCCTACTGGGAGCATGGGTGCCAGGTGTTGGCACCAGGGGCCCTGACACCTTACATACAATTAAATGAATATTTTCCATAACATCTAGAGAATGTTGGTACCTATTGGAAAGTTCTTCACAGTGCATGTCCCTGAAACTTTACTTCCTTAACTCAAGACATTTGCCACAAAATACTAGGCAGAAGAGACAGGGAGTCTGGAGGTGTGAGCAGGGATGATAGGTGCTTTGGACCCTTAGGGACTATAGGAGTCCCAGGAGCAGCTATTGGCTGGCTTCTTTGAAAGACAGCCTGTTGAGGCACATGAGCCAACATGGGTCAGTATGCAGCCCTTCACAGTACGGGTAGCATCTGGAGGGAGGAGACGTTATTTGCCTGTGCCCCATGTTTGCAGTCACAGGTCCATTCATAAGATGCCACCACAGTTGAGAACTACATAAGTTAGTGAGTTCTTGGATTTCTTTTCTTTTCTAACAGGATGGCCACATACCATGTTCACACTCCACCAAGGAAGACAACCAAAGGATGAAGGAAAACATAGATGCAGTTGACAAGCTGGAGAGGTACAGCTGCTTGTACATTTTTTTAGTTAAAACAAGCTGGGGTGGAGTGTTACAGGATGGCTCCAAAGCTATGTAATATTAAACCGATAAGAAGAAACTCATTTGCAAGTACTGGTAGTTACTGAAAGCCATGCCCCCAAGACATGAGTTCATTGTAACAGCAATTATTCAGAGTGGGAAAGACAACCACAGATGATTTATGTTCCCCTTTAAAATTGCCTGATATTTGCAGTTCGCCGCCTGACTTTTGTCATAAGAGCTTAGACCAGTGAAAAGGGTTTCCAAGAATTACACTGATTGTTAAAGAACAGCCTCGAACTAACTGATCTAACTCTGTGTTTCATTTTCCTCAACTTCACATGTTCACCTACAGATTGGAGCTGAAATGATTTGGGATGTCTGTGCTTGAAGGTTTTTTGGTTTTGTTTTGTTTCGTTTTTAAGAATGTTGATGCTATGTTATCCGCGAGTGGCTATTAATTGAGATCATTCAATTATATCAGATTTTCCTTTACTTTTTCCTCTGAGAAGCATATTTGTGGGAAGAAAATCCTTTGATTGGATACAAAAGTCATAGGTACCATATAAAAGAAAGTGTCTTCATTAGAGTTTCACTGCTGTGAGCAGACACCATGACCAAGGCAACTCTTATAAGGTCAACATTTAATTAGGGCTGGCTTACAGGTTCAGCGGTTCGGTCCATTATTATCAAGACAAGAACATGGCAGCATCCAGGCAGCCATGGTGCAGGAGTTGCTGAGAGTTCTATACTTTATGTGAAGGCTGCCAGCAGAATACTGACTCCCAGGCAGCTATGACGAGGATGTTAAAGTCCACTCCCACAAAGCTATATCTACTCCAACAAGGCCACACCTCCCAACAGTGCCACTCCCTGGGCCAATAATATACAAACCATCACAGAAAGGATTCGGGTTTAGTTCCTTCCTTTCCTATTTGCTAGGTGTGCAACTCGGAACCATTAATAACATCCACTGTCTTTCCTGACACAGGGAGGGTGGCGCATGCTCATTGGAGGCTGCAGGAGGGCATTGCTTCCTTCAGCACTGACTTATCAGTATTATTTATTCACTTAACTACTTTGTCGCCGTACTTAGTGGGTTTCTACAAACTGCTTTTACTTCTTTGACCCTTACCCAAGCCCCAGCACTTTCCATCACACTCAGAGAGTAATGCAGAACTTTCCATCACAGCGCTGGCCCATAGCCTCGCTATGAACTTGTCCATTATCATCAAGGTGGGAACATGGCAGCGTTCAGGCAGACATGGCACTGGAGGAGCTAAGAGTTCTACATCTTGCTCCGAAGGGGAAGACAGGCATCCTCAGGCAGCTAGGAGGAAGCTCTCTAAGTCCATTCCCACAGTGACACACTCCGACAAGACCACGCCCACTCCAACAAGGCCACACTCCTAATAGGTCCTAGCATTTTCAAACTATGACAAAGGCCTTTGGCAAAATCTAACACCCGTTCATAATGAATGTCCTGGAGAGACTAAAGATACAGGGGACATAATTCAACATGATAAAGACTATTTACAGCAAGCCCACAGCCAACATCAACCTAAACGGAGAAAAACTCAAAGCATTTCCAGTAAAACCAGGAACAAAGCAGGATCTTTCCCTCTCTCCATACTTATTCAATACAGTGCTTGACGTTTTAGCTAGAACAATAAGACAACTGATGGAGATCAAGGGGATTCAAATAGGAAATGAAGAAGTTAAAGTATCCTTATTTGTAGGTAATATGATTTTATAGGTAAAAGACCCTAAACATTCCACCAGGAAATTTCTACAGCTAACAAACACTTTCTACATAATAGAATACAAAACTAGCACACACAAAAAAGCCAGTAGCCTTTAGGGTTTCTATCGCTGCAATAAAATACCATGACCAAAAAAGCAAATTAGGGAAAAAAGGGTTTATTTGGCTTACATTTCCACATTGCTATTCATCATCAAAGGAAGTCCCGACAGGAACTCAGGCAAGGCTGGAACCTGGAGGCAGGAGCTGATGCAGAGGCCTTGGACGGGTGCTGCTTTGTTCATCATGGTTTGCTCAGCCTGCTTTCTTATAGAACCTAGAACCACCAGCTCAGGGATGTCACTACCCACAATGGGCTGGGCCCTCCTACACTGATCACTAATTGAGAAAATGCCCTTCAGCTGGATCTCATAGAGTCATTTCCTCAATTGAGGTTTCTTCCCTTGGGATAAGTTTGATTTGTGTCAAGTTGACACAAAAGTAAGCAGCACAACAAATGACAAACGGACTGAAAAAAAAATCAGGGAAAAATACCTTTAATAGTAGCCTCAAAAATATCTTGAGGCAACTCTAAACCAGACAAGTGAAAGACTTGTATAATAAAAATGTAAGACATTGAAGAAAAAAATTGATGAAGATGGAAAAACCTCCCATGCTCATGGATTGATAAAATTAATATAGCGAAAATGGCCACCCTACCAAAAGCAATCTACAGATCCAACATAATCCCCATCAAAATTCCCACACAGTTTTTTACAGAAACTGAAAAAAAATCCCATATTTCAGCTTTATATGAAAACACGCACACACGTGAGCAGGCACATGTGTGTGTGTGTGTGCACACGCGCATGTGTGTGTTCATGTGTGTTTTCGAGCACACATGAGTGTGCACACATGTGCACACACACACATACACACCAGTATAGCTAAAACAATCTTCTATAATAGAAGAACTGCTGGAGGTGTCACCATCCCAGATGTCAAATTGTACTACAGAGATAATAGTAATAAAAACAGCATGACATTTACATAAAAACAGACATGTTGATCAATGAAATGGAATCTAGGAACCTGCAGGCATAAGTCCACTCACCTGAGTTTTAAGACAGCATATTCAACAATGATGCTGGTCAAATTGGATGGCTACATGGAGAATAATGCAGCTAGATACTTATCACCCTGCACAAAACTCAACTCCAGATGAGTCAAGGACCTCATCCTAAGGCCTGATGGGAGGGAAAGTGGGAGAACTTTTTTGAACTCACTGGCCCAGGAAGACGCTTCCTGCAGAACACTGCACAAGCACTAAGAACAACAGTTAATGCACAGGACCTCATGAGACAGAAAAGCTGCTGTATGGCAAAGGACAACAACATCCAGGCAAAGTGGCAGGCTACAGAATGGGGGAAGAAATCTCTACCAATTACAGCTTTGATCGAGGGATAAAGAAAACAAATAATCCAATTGGAAAGTGGGATACAGAACGAAGCAGAGAGTTCTCGAAAGATGAAACACAAATGGCTGAGAAACATTTTTTTAAAACATTCAACATCCATAGTTATCAGGGAAATACAAATTAAAACTATCTTGAGATTTCATCTGGCATCAACCAGAATGGCTAAGATCAATAAAACGAATGACAGCTCATGCTGGCAAGGATGATGTGAGGAAAGGGGAACACTTATTTATTTCTTGTAGGAGTGCAAACATGTACAACCACTATGACAATCAGTGTGGCAGTTCCTTGGGAAGCTGGGAATAATCTGTCTCAAGATCCAGATACACCACCTACCCTTGGGCATCTACCCAGAGGACTCAACATCCTGCTTAGCCATGGTCCTTGCTGTTATATTCACAGTAGCAGGGAAATGGAAACAACCTAAATGTCCTTTAACCAACAATGGACAATGAAAATGTGGCACATACACAATGTGGAATATAATTTAGGTGTAAAGGAAAATGAAATCATCAACTTGTCATGTAAATGGATAGAACTAGGAAAGATCATATTGAATGAGGTAATCTAGCCTCAAAAAGATAAATATCACATGCTCTCTCTCATTGGAGGCTCCTAGCCCCAAATCTTCAGATGTGAGTGCATAGCCTGCAGCTGAAAGAGGATCGTTGCCAGGAAGGGAGTTTGGGAAGCAGTAGAGGGGGGAATAGCAGGAATCAAGTGATCTGATGGGGGAAATGGAAAAGGATCTTTCGGGGGGGGGGATGATACATGCAGAGGGAGAGAGGAGATAAAATAACAGTAAGGATGTCTGAGAAGGCACAGGGAACCATACTATCAACCATTCACCTAAAACCCTGCAATATACACAATTCACTGTACAAAGATGCATATGTAGTTTTAATGAACTTTCTCATCTTGGCTGATGATGTCCTCTCTAAGAGCCAAAGTCTACAACCAAAACCCCCAATAGCAGACAGAAGAACCCTCTTTTGAGTTGTTGGACAGGTCTGTCCCAAGAAACTCCGCAAACAGAGTCTATTACTATTGCCCTTGGTTGTTTCCCCAGGGGTGGAAGGTAAGTCTCTATGGCTGAAAATACCATGCACTTCAGAATCAGAACCTAGAGACCCCTGAGCTAGAACTAACCTGAAAGCCTCTTCCCTGAGACTTTACAGAACCAGTAAGGCACCATGCAAGCTTCCAAAAGAGGGAGAAGACCACCAGTCCTACCTAGCTATGCTGCCTGTGAATCATATAAATTACCAGCACGGCACAGCGACCTTAGTGATGCAATAGTTGCTCTGTTTGGACTTAAGTCTCTAATTGGACTAAGAGCCACTCAATAAGAAGGAAGCCATGCCAGCTACTTAGTGCTAGGGAAATCACAGATCGTGGAAGAGAATCTTACTACCTTACTAAACCAGCACAATCTCTAACAACAATCTATAAACATTTGTTCCTGTGCCAACAGATAAATATAGTCTTCACCCTTCATTAAGAAAATGTCCCCTTGCAACTGATGGAGATAACTACAGAAAAGAACAACCAGTCAAAATGCCGAGTTGTAGAGCTCAGTCCTTATGGATGCATCTATAAAACAAGCCCCACATCCAAGGCTCTGGAAGCTGTGGAAGAGAAAATTGAAAGATTGTAAGAGCCAGAGGACCAGGGAGTTTGCTTTGAGAGTGTATCTCCTAGTAATGTCACCAACATGGTTGCCCAAACATGAGTTGAATAAGAACAATACCAATGGACATGCAA